AGAGAGAGAGAGAGAGAGAGAGAGAGAGAGAGAGAGAGAGAAGGCTCAATTAGAGCCAGGACTTTCACAAGTCTAAAAACTCCAGAATGCTTGACAAATTCAAAAACAGAAACAAAACAAAACACCAGCCCTTGCTCTGGATTGATTGCTTTGCCTTGGGGCCTGAAAGGGAACCACAGCCCTCACCACAGTCCTGCCAGGCAGAAGGTGGCGGACGGACCCCTACGGAATAGCACCCTGGGTTCTGTTCATTTTCTGCCTCTCCTATGACCACCTGCCACCTCTACTGTGACCCAGAGCTGTCTGTCTGCAGCGATTCCGCACAGGTCACAGCAACCTGTTTACAAACAGCTAGAGTTCCAAGGCTCTCTTAGGACAAGGGACTCGGGATGCATCCAAATGGACAGCAAAGCCTTGGTCAGAGAATCCGTCCCTCCCTTTCTATTTATGCCGATGTAAACACTCGCCAAGGAAACAAGCCATGCAGGCATGCGCAGCCCTGCAGGCCCTCGGGTGGCTGCAAAAGGCAACTGGAAAGTCACATGTCATAACACTGGAAAGTACATATGCAGCTATTCTTAGGCTTGGAATGTATACACTGTCTGCCTGCCCGGCAGCCCTTGCACCGAGCTCTAGGAGCTGTGAAAGTGCCTGCAGCATAAACAAACCCAGAACTCATCTAGGACAGAGAATTTGCCAACAGAAGGAAAGGCCTGGGGTTTATGGTTTTATTCCAAGCCTAAGGTAGAAACCTTCTGAGGGGACAAGACAAACCCGGCATCCGTGGATGTCACTGCAGCAAAACAAGGTAGGTGTCCCTAACTTGTCATTCCTCAGCAGGCAGACTGTCCATGTCACCAAGGAGCCACAGAAGTGTTTGGTGTTCTCTACTAATTACATCTTTAAAACAAAACCCAGAGACCATGCGGTCTTCTCTCTAGATCTGGCCACAGCCCGCTGTAATCCCTCACTTCTGTCCAGTGACCAGAAGACCACACCCCCAGAATGTCAGCCTTAGGGAATAACTAACTCCAAGAAAGATTTGTAGACAAGTTTACTGGCAAATCTGCTAATGATCTGGACAAAGGCATACATTACTTGTCAAATGCATGGACTGCTTTTTTTGTTTGTTTGTTTATTTTTGTGCCAGGCTAATATGTGAGTCTCTGACCATCAACTTTGGTTGGAAGAGGCCTAAGATTAGCTGGAGATGCTACATGTCTTTTATCTCTGAGGCTGTTCACAGCCTGAAGTAGATCACTTTGTGGTCTGCGATGAGGGTGGTTTCCTCTTCCCTCTTCAGTGTGCTCTGTTTGTGAACCCATTGACTTGGTAAATAGATACAATGAACGAGGCTTGGAGCCCCCACAGCTAACCCCTCTAGTACACGATGCCAGAAAGCCTTGACCTTGCTTCCATTTGGGGCTTCCCTCCTTCTTTGTAGGATGGATGAGGAGCTACCAGATGGGGTTGTCTTCAAAGACGACAACTTCTCCTCTGACTTGTTGAGACAGCTCAATGACTTAAGGCAGAGCAAGACCCTGACCGATGTGAGCATCTGCTCCGGAGCCTGGGAGGTCCCTTGCCACCGCAATGTGCTGGCCTCCAGCAGCCCCTACTTCAAGGCCATGTTCTGCAGCCACTTCCGGGAGAGCACGGAGGCCAAAGTGTGGCTGAAGGGCATCAACTCCAGCACTCTAGAGCAGGTCGTCACGTATGTGTACACAGGAGAGGTGCACATCACAGCTGCCAACGTCCTCCCCCTGATGGAGGCAGCCGCCATGCTGCAGTACCCCAGGGTGTTCGAGGCCTGCTCATCATACCTGCAGAGCCAGCTGGCCCCCAACAACTGCCTGGGCCTGGTCAGACTCGCGGAAATCTTAAACTGTGAAAGCCTTAAGAAGAGAGCCAGGGAGGTGGCCCTGACTTGCTTCCCAGAGGTAGCAGCGTCGGCTGACCTGAAGGAGCTCTGTGCCATGGAGTTGAGAGACTACCTAGGAGATGACAGGCTCTGCGGCGAGGAGGAAAAGGTGTTTGAGGCCCTCATGGCTTGGGTCAAGCATGACCTCCAGGCCCGATGGCCCTACATGCAGGAACTTCTGCAGCAAGTCCGGCTGCAGTACATACATCCTGCCTTCTTTCACCATTTCATTGCCAACGACGCTGTCCTCCAGTCGTCGCCCGCATGCCGGGCCATCCTGGAGGTGGCCAGGAAGCAGATGTTCTCTTTGTACAGCCCCAGTGCCCAGGACTGCAAACTCGTGTGGCACGAACCCCCGAGGAGCTGCTACCAAGACTGCCTCCTTGTCCTGGGGGGCCAGAAGGACAACCAGCAGACCACCAGGGATGTCTTGCTCTACAGTGTACACACTGGCCAGTGGCAGAGCCTGGCCAAACTCCCCGCGCGGTTGTACAAGGCCTCGGCTGTCACCTTGCACCGCAGCATCTACGTGCTCGGGGGCGTGGCTGTGAGGGAGGGCAAGAGTGCCGTCAGTGCCAGCGTGTATGTCTTCTCTCTGAAACTCAACCAGTGGAGACGCGGGGAGCCCATGCTGGCAGCCCGCTACTCTCACAGAAGCGCCGCCCACCGGAATTTCATCTTCTCCATCGGGGGCACCGGAGAAGGGCAGCAGCTCCTGGGTTCCATGGAGAGGTATGACAGCGTCTGTGATGTCTGGGAGAGCATGGCTGACATGCCAGTGGCCGTGCTCCACCCTGCGGTTGCCGTGAAGGACCAAAGGCTCTATCTTTTTGGGGGTGAGGACATCATGCAGAACCCTGTGCGCCTCGTCCAGGTAACCAGCCGGTCCTTCTCTCCACGCTAGGACCGAGTGTGCTTGTGTGTGCGCACACACACATACATAAATATACATGCCTAATACAATAGCATATACACACACACATATACACATGCATGTCTGCAGCCATGTAAACATTCACATGCACACGTATACAAATAGCACACGCATAATTATATACAGACACACTCATACAGGCACATGTATAACTGAGTGAACATATATGCACATGGGCGTGTGCATGCATTCAGTCAGGTGTACATTCACTCACGTGAACATGCTAACAGTGTAAACATGCATGCACATACATGTATGCGCACACATGATTATGTGACATATTCGCATACACATGTGCGTGTGTATAACGCCATACATACGCAGACATGAACATATCATGACCAACACGTGCACACATACATATGCAAGTCTGCATGCATGGGCACATGCGTGCACCCATATTACGCACACGTCTGTACACATGCGTGTGTATGTGTGCACTTGTGTGTACATGCATTTGTATGAAAACGTATCATAGCACATACATGTCATAAATATGTGCATATATGCATTCTTGTGTACCGTGTACATACATGCATGAATTTGTGTGTGTACCCCTACATACACTCTTATTTATCGTGGCATACACATATCTATGCACACGTGTGCACATATACACTTATGTACATATGTATGCATGCAGACATAGAATAGAATACACACTTGTGCACATATACACCTATGTACATATGTATGCATGCAGACACAGAATAGAATACACACTTGTGCACATATGCACGCATGCATACATGTGTATTATATATGCCACATATGATAGCATATGCATCTGAGAACAAATGCATGTATTTGTGTGTGTGTATGAGTGTATACACATGCCCAGACAGGCACACACATACACACAGGCACACACACATAGCACACACACACATAGCATGCACGCATTTGCCTTTCTCGGGGCATGAAGAGAAGCAGGAAATTTTCAGTGGTGTTTGGCTTATGGATTTTTCTTGTGAGACTAATGCAAAGTCATGTCAGGTGCACCCCATCCGAAAAGAGCTTGTCTTCACTTGAAGGGAAATAACCTAGAAGTTCATGCTGAAACATATTTAAAACAAGACAGCACAGTGCTATAGGACGCTCGTGGTGCCGTTAACCCCCCACTGCAAGGCTACCCTCCTCGCATGGAATCATGACATCTGTGCTTTACAGAGGTCTCCAGGAGCCTCTAAGGCATGACTGGGGCTGGGACCGTGTGCCTGAAATGACAGGAGGAATTCATTTCACTAGCACAGGCCCTGAGACGTGGGTTTGAAAAAGGCCAACTTCAGAGCGTCGAGTGTCCATGCTCCGTGCAAGCTTTAATGACTGTGCCGCACGTGGTAAGCTTCCCTTACTATTTAGGCGACACCAGGGGTGGACTCTGTCTGGCCGCTGTCAATGACCTGAGAGGAAACAGAAAATTACATCTAACCCTCCAGGAGTTTACATGACAGCTGCAATTCGCAATCTGAAGATCCAAGTGCTGAGAGCTTAAGGGGTGTCCTAGATGGGACCAGAGGGAATGGCAAAGAGCATGAAGGTCCAGAGGAATTTGGAGAAAACTCCGTGAGAGGGTGAAAGAGGAGGGAGGCGTCAGAATGGATGCTAAGATGCTAAAAACGAGCAAGCAGCGGGGGGCCTGGCTGGGAGCGAAGAGCTGACAGCTGAAGACGGCAGAACTGTCTGCAGAGGGAGAGACGGACCTGGGTCCTTTGTACAGAGGCTCAGAAGAAAAGAGGAGGCAAGCGCTCTGCCTGCGGAGCCGAGAGCGTGACAGTGACAGCGTGACGTACAGTCGCCAGCGGAGTGAGGAGGAGGCTGCATGCCAGACGGTAGCTGGGGAGGGAGCAGGTGTCAGCCCCGTGTAGTCTCCATCATGCCCTTCTTACGCTGCCCCAGCAGCCTCCTCCACCCAGATCCTGCCTCCAAGGCGCTCCTACCAAAATTCTGGAACATTCCAGAATGGCTTGTGGAGAAGAAGCTGCTGCGGCTGGGCTTTGTATATCTTGTCAGGAAACTGGGGTGGTGACCCGAGAGCGAGGGGGCAGAGAGAGCATCAGGTTTGCGTTTCAGCGCCCTCTACCTGTGGGTCGTGACCCCTCTTGAGGGGCCGAATGACCCCTCACAGAAGGTACATATCAGGTGTCCTACATATCTGATGTTTACATTATGATCCATTCCAGTAGCAAAATTACACGTACGTGTTAGCAGTGGAATAATTTTATGGTTGGGGGTCGCCACAACACGAAGAACTGTCTTAAAGGGTTGAAGACTCAGGAACGTTGAGAACCACTGATCTAGATGCTTCTAGAGGAGGGAATGGAGAACACCCGGGGAAGAGAGCCGGAAGATGCTCCCAGAAGCCCGGACAGAGGGTGCTGATGGCTTAGACCTCCGCACCTTCTTTCTGCAGCCCTTACTCCCCGTGAGCATCAAGAAGAGGCTCATTCTTCCAGAAGTCCACCCATTGACTGGAGCTGGGGGGGACTCCACTATGATCCTCGGGAGAGACCCACCAGGGCCCCGCCCACCTCTCTCGACTGTTTGCCCAAATAGAATCAACAGCTAGGCCGGTGACTTCACGCCGCCACAAGACTGTCACCAACTTCCTGAGAATAAAATGCAAAGCTCGAATAAACTTCCAGCTAACAGATCAGGAAATGCATAGTGCAACCAAACCAAGACCCTCACAAAGCCAAACTAGCCCGGACTTGTGAGTGGCCCTTTTGTGGTACAGCCAAGGAAAGCCAGGAGTGGGTGGATGTAGGCGGCTGGTCTGTGGGCCTGTAACGTTGGCCACACCCCTTTGGATGTGGTTTCAGTGGGACAGAAGCAGAAAGAGAGGAGCTTGAGGCTGGCTTTCCTTGGCCCACACTTTTCTGGTGGGTCAGCGGATCCGGTAGGCAGAGCAGGGAAACTCCAATGGTTCTTTGTATTATTCTGTATAATTGTCCCCCAATAAACACCCATTTATCATTTACCTTGGGTCTAGTGATATAATTCCATCCTCGCCTTCAGGTGGAAGCGTTCACATGCGTGCTTTTCTTACCGTCTAGCATTTGCTTTCAAGTGGGCATTCTACTGGCTTAAACACACTTTAAAATGAGTGCTGGGACTCACTTGATGGAGGAGGCTGAGTTTTCAGGCGGAAGCAGAGGAGTCTTCCAGACCATCTTTCAATGGTGTCACTAGACAAGGTGGACACTGATGGTCCCCTTCTACCTGGCCTTTGTCCTGACTCTGCTTCTAGAGGACATAAAACAAATCCTGTACCATGAGGCAGCATCACTTCCTAGCGGGTCAAGCACATCCTTTGTTACCTTGCTGCGGTCTCTCTGAAGTCCTCCTGTGAGGACTGAGAGCAAATGACAAACCTGTCTTTGAAACCGAACTCCAAGCTGAGAGAGCAGAAGGCCAGGAGGCAATCCCTCACCCGAGTAAAATGCAGCCAGCAGCTGCGTTCCTCCAGAGGATCCGACTTCTCAAGGAGTGTGTCACCACTGTATTTTCAGATGAAGCAATGGGACTTCCCAGTGACTCTACTCAGCCTCCTCCAGGCTGCAACAGGAAGAAGGGATAATGTAGATCCTAGGGGGTTGTTGGTCTCATCCATCACGGCACCACCATAAGACAGCTCAACAGGTCAAGGGACTTGCTATGAAAGTCTGAACTGAGTTTGGTTCCCAGAACCCAGTGAAAGTGGAAGGGAGAGTAGACTTCACAAAGTTGATCTCTGACCTCCACACACACCGTAGCACAAGTGTGCACACATATGCACAAACATACGCACAACAAACATAGCAATAAATTGTAAACTAGCAGATAATACCACACTCCGTCAACAGATCCATGGCACTGGTGACCGAGAGCATGGCCCCTGGATTGAACCAGAAACTACCATGTCCATTCAGTCTGTCTGTGCAAGTCACTGTCTGTAGGCCTCAAGAGTCTAATCTAAAAAAACGAGGAAGAAACAGTGGCTACCCTGATAACATTGTGAAAGTCAACTTCTTCTTGCTACCTATTTACATTAAAAATGTAGTTATTTTTTATGCCTATGGGTGTTCTGCCTACACACACACACACACACACACACACACAC